GCGCTGTGTAATTTATCAAAATTCTATCACCATTTTATCCACCATGCACCACTTTGCCGGCCTGTAAATAATTCATCCTTGAGCAAATGTCACGACCGATGAAGCAAAAAGCTTTCCACATATTCCTACGGCAGCCTTTGTGGACAGCGTTGTTTGTCACGCAATGGTGGAATGGCTTGAAACGAGGAAGGACATAACCTGCGATTTAGTGTTCTGTTTCTCACTGCGAAAAAAAAAGAATGGCTGATCGCGAAATAGTAAGGATAAAGAGACAGGAAGAGAGAACTATTGTGCTTATTTTGTTCATTGAAACATCGCGTGACTAACATATCCAGTCACCTAGGTTAACAAATATAATCTAAGAAACGAAGAAAAACAGATTTGATTGGTTTTCTTTTCTCATTCTAGAAATACAGAACTCAAGGAAGAATGTACAACACGCAAGACGTCTTTGATTTTCTTTATAGTGAACACTATGTTTTGAAGTGTAGTCAGATGTAGAAATGAGAACTGTAAATGTGAGTTTGCATTGGAAGATATCATGATTTTTTTCCCTGAACAGTTCATGTAGCGATGAGTAGCACAAACAAATGACTGATTGTAAATGTCGCTTTTTATAATAGAAAGACAGCTGGTCTTGGTTATAAACTAGTGTGTAAACAAGATTGTTTGGTCGTCGTGACGCGAACGAATCAGACCTGTGTTAACTTTTAATTGTGAAAGTACACTTTCTGTGTATCGTCATGTAAAACAGTGAAATAAAATTCCAAGACCTTGTAAACAGTAGCACGTGTGGAGTGTTCAAGTAAGCAAGAAATGCAAGGATCACGTGACGGTCTGTCACCAGTCAAGGGAATCTCGGAAATATGACATAATGGTGTTGAATTTCATTGGCCTTCCGCCTTGAATATAATTTTCATTATCTCGCCGAATAATCGAATGTAATAATCGGGCGAATGTGTTTGTACTTTACATTACAGGTAGCAGTGTGGTTTACAGTCTTTCTCGCATCTCATTCGATGGTGTTCAATTTGCATCTCCATGATAATTACATTTAAGGCCTATAAATTGCGAAACCTGCGATTAGTAACAATCTTTTTTCCCTCATAAGAATTAAACCCAATAACGCTGTATGTTAAGAATCGTACAGAAACAAGAGGAAACGTCACTAACCTGCGAACAAATATAGTTACTGTTGTTTCGTCAGCTATAAAGCAAGTGAGTCATCGGCTGTTCGATTCCAGGTCGATGTCAACTTCTCGTCTCCATTCGTCTTTTCACGGCCCGGCAAGCCTTTGCTCAGAATTTTCACGATA